AGAAATTAGTTTTGAACTCAAAATAATGAAATTTCGAACCGAGGAAAATGGTTTTGGGTATAGTTTGGAAGAAAGAATTTTTAGTGTCTTGGACATTTGACTTGGTGAGTTTTGCTTTAGTTCAACTGTATACTTGAAAATCATAATGTTGGATTTGGAGTTCAGCTGAAAACTATGTTCTTTGGTAAATTCATGCTATTCCGAAAGAATGTGTGGTGAAACTCATGTTATAGGCTGTTCTTGTAATGCTAATATGTAAGGGAACAGCAAGAATACTTTTTGATATTGAACAAGGAATTTTTGTGATAAACTGATAATTATATGCCTTTCTTTCTCACGCAGGTTTTGCTTTAAGCAATTTGTCACACATCATCGAAATCATTTCATCTATTGCTCAAATTTCTTCCGCAGACGAGACAAATCTTGAATATGTGGTATTTGTATGTTGGTTTCTTATAACATTTTAAGTGGTTTGGGTTCAGGTGAACTGAGGCAAATAATCAGACAAGAGATGGACAACAACAGGACTTGCAGAGACAAACAGAGGATTAGGTTCTTGATTAGTGATGGATTGCAGAGATTAAAGCGGTTGGATGAGACACTGGATATGCAAGGACGTTGAATTCTCAAAGTAAATTAGGTATTCTTGTTATAATATGTCGTGCTTCTAATGAGCATTGGGTACTGTTTCCCCATATTTTGATTTTGATATCCTAAAACTAAGAAAAGCATTTGGGCAGTATGGGAAAAGAACATTACTGAATATGTTGATCGAGATCTCATACAAGCGACATGGTTTTGCAGGATCAGTACTTGAGTTCCATCAAGCAACAACTTATGGGAAAAATATTTATCCTATGTATTTTGTGTCCTTAATTGTCTGTTGTCTGCCCTGCTGTAATTGGAGATGCTTAGGTAGATGAGTAATGTTGAGTTCGCAATTTTAATTGTACCTTTGTTATATTTCCCCACATCATGGTTAAATTATATTTGTTCCTGATTTGTTTGTGAAACATTTTGTCATTTGAGATTACTCAGCTCGATTTATTCTGTTCGTTCATTTCTTAGCACTTAAGGTCAATTCAGAAGAATCACAGGTAAGATGCAAGAACTAGCCAAATGGAAACTGAGGATGATACAAATTGCTATAAGCCTATACCATTGTCTGCAATAGATGAAATATCTTGAAATTGTCAATCTAGCCCTTCTGATCGCTTGGTTGGGCAATTTGTGGATCAATTACACATCAATTCAACTGGAAGCGTTGATTTTTCTCAAGTTAATTGCAACAGAAATTCTTTTTGAACTCCAAGTCAATTAACTCTATAACATATTAATATCGAAATCATTACCCAAAAAAGGAAGAGAATAAAAAAGAAATAACATCAAATTCTATCAAAATAATAATCTCATCCATGTGACTATAAAAATCCGAAAACCCCAGCGAATAGTGAGAGCCTAACTACTAACTGCAAGCAAAGTTCGGCTCATGATTGAACACTAACTACTAATGCTTCAAGAAATACAAGAACTTGCCTCCACTCAATTTTCATCAAAATACATTCTGATAACTGGCAATTTTGATTCCCCCCTACAAAGGCCGAGCTATAAACTCCCTCTCCACCATTTTCCCCATCAACTCCTCCTGCTTCTTCAGCTGCCCTGCCTTCTTCAACTGCTCCATAACCATCTCATAAACCCTCGGGCTCGGCCTCAAACACTTTTCCTCCACCATCTCCTTAAAATACTTGTACGCATTATTCCAGTGACCCATCAGACAATACATCGTGATAATAATCTTGTAGCTATTCACATTCGGCTCCACCTCACTCTCCACCATCTCCTTCCAAAGCTTGATAACCATATCAGTCGACCTCGACACAGAGAACATTTGCATCAGTATATTATACGTAACAGTATTCCCCTTGCACCCCAAATCCTTCATCCGGGTTAACAACCGATGGGCACCGTTCACATCTTGATCTTTCGCCACACATCTGAATATCGGGTTAAAACTCGACATGTTTGGGTCACACCCTTTTTTCACCATGGCATTAACCACCTTCACTGCCTCACCTCTGTTCCCATCCCTACAGTGAGCATCTATCAAGAAATTATACGTTATGACATCAGGCTCGCACGAGAGTTTCCTCATCTGGTTGTACACTTGGAGCACCTTCTCAGTCCTCCCGGCTTTTACATGGACACGCATCAGATTATTAAAAGTAGCCGCATTTGGGGGACAGCCCACATCAAGCATTTCAGCAAACACGTCATGTGCGCGTGTTATCTGCCCACACCTGCAGAGAGCATCAATCACGGCCGTGTAAGTGTACACAGTCGGCTCAATCCCTGTTTTTTTCATTTCCATAAATACCCTTTCGGCCTCGTCGATATTACCAGCACGGCACCACGCGTGGATCAGGCTAGTGTAGACCACGACATCAAGCTCGAATTTGTGTTTTAGGGAGTCGAAGAAGGCTTGGGCTTCAGGGGCACGTCTTCTTCGGGAGAGCATGCCGATTACGAAAGAGAAAGCTTTGTTGTTAGGTTCACATCCGTAATCTTGCATCCTGTTGAATGTGTGGACGGCCTCTGAGGGCAGTCCTGCTCGGATGTAACGCCGGATGAGGATCGAGAATGTGTGGAGGGATATTTCGAGGTTTTGAGATCTCATTGAGTCGATCAGGTGCCAGGCAACGTCGAATTGGTGAACCTTTCCGGAAAAATCGATCATTTCGTTGAATATTTCAGTGGGGAGAGAGGAATCTTGTAGCCGCAGCGTGGCCCAGTTGAAGAAGGCGAGGGTTTGGGGAAAGGGAATGCCGTGGCGGAGAGCGGCGCACTTATCTATCACGCGGAGGATGACGGCGGGGGACGGGGCGGGGATGTTGGAGAATTCGTAGGAGAGTGAGGCGAAGGCGACGCTAGGGTTTATAGGGGTTTGGGGGTTCAAGAGGAGGTTGGGGTTCTTGCGCTGGTGGTCCTTAATTAGTGAGTAGAACTTGTTGGCGGCGAGGGTTTCTTCAGGAGAGAGTTCGACGGCGGCGGAGGGCGAGGCAGGGGACGGTGTTTCGTCGCTTTCGTCCATGGAGACCACGTCGTTTTGAATGTCGGTGGTGTCGCAGTATGAGGAGAAGAGGTTGACGGTGTTTCTGAATATAGGTGATAGGAGATTTAAGCGTCTGACTGAGAGAGCCATCGCCATTGGAGTGTAATGTAATGGAGCTGAAGCTGGGACTGGTGAAGCAGAGAGCAGTAAAACCTCTGTTCCTAAAAACTCCCTTTACAAAAACAGATAAATGTATTTGCTCGTCGAAGTGCAATGTGGTGGATCACTGGACCAATTTTTGGCCCAATATTTATTCTTTTCATGTATTTTTCGGCCCATATGTAAGCTTTTTCCCAGGCCCAAACTAACAGACGACCAAAAATTACAAGGCTGACCAAAGGAAAAGTAACGAAGAAAAAGAGAAAAATGTGCTCCAAGCTCCGCAACCACCGGACCATCGGCGCCGCCGTGCGCCACCTCCGTGCTGATAAACCCGTCCCACATATCCAAAATCGCCAATTACATAACGGCCCCGATACGCTTGAGGAGCTTCTCGACCGGCACCTGGTCAAAGACGACGGCCCGAAGCATCTCAACGACGATGAGAGCGAGCTCCTGAATCGGCAGCGGCTCACCAGCACTCGCCGTGAGGCGCTGAGCCTCTACCGAGACATTATCCGGGCGACCCGATTCTTCATATGGCCCGATTCAAGGGGCGTCCTCTGGCGCGACGTATTGAGGGAGAACGCGAGGAAGGAATTTGAGCAGGCCCGGTTTGAGAAGGACCCGGAGGTCGTGACGCGGCTGATCATCGGAGGACAGGAGGCGGTTCAAGCGGCGATCGATAAGCTCGTGGAGAAGCAGAAGCAGCAGGTCGAGAAGGAGAGGAATGAAGCCCGTCGGCGATGATTTGTTTTGGTGGTAAGTGTTTCTAATCGGGTTATTTCACTCTTTTTTAGAATCTGTTTTTGTATAATTTAAGCGGCAATGGGAATTGCAAATAATTCTGTTTTAAAATTTGAATTCATGGGATTTGATCGAGTTCTATAAAATTTGGTGAATAATTGTGGTTCTTATGTGAATGGGTTTCCGAGTCCGACTAGGAAATATAGGTTTTGTGGATTTATTTATTTATTTATTAGTGTTGATGAATATTCAAAGGGAAATCCAGAACTGTGGAATTTCAGGGTTTAGTTTCCAGGCAAGGTTTTCATGATAGGTATACTTTGAGGGGAATTAATAGAACCAGAGACAGAGGTATGCAAAAGGGAGAAGTTAAGTATTATATGGAGTTTTTTTTGTAAATGGAGTCATCAACTCTGAGTTGCTAGCTGAATCTGGTTGAAGAAGAATGCCATCTTCTTCAGTTGACTCCTTTGATCAACAAAACCATCTAATAACCGTAAATTGGAATACTAATGGTTCTGTCTATGCACACACGCGCAATATGTTTGTTTGAAGTGAAAAGTTATCTAGAAGCGCAAACTGTCTAATAGATAGAAGAGCTAGAGCTAACAAGAATCTCATCCTAAATGCTTCTGTTTTTTTCTTTACTTTTGAGCGGTGGGGCTTTCAAACTTATTTTCATGAGTATGTTTGTATTCAGAATTTATCCCTTTGAGAACTTAATTTGAAACTAAGCTCACGTTTCACTTGGTTTTATCAGATCAGATAATCTTGATTTCGAAAATATAGATTGGGAGTGTGATGTGAAGTATGATTAGCATGCATAGATGGCAGATCAAAAGCTTCTCTGTGCTAAGATTGTGCATCTTGGCCAGTATCTATTTACTTACAATGCTGGTCTCATGGACTGCATAGGAATTTGTGTTCCAGAAAAAAGGAAAAATGTAGTAATTATAAAAATGTTATGGGAATGTAATATTCAGTTGCTTATAATGAGAGTAAAAATCACTAGAGACTCATAATCCTACAGCAAGGTTTATCATGCTATATACTTGAGCTATTGTGAACTTAGAGAGCTTGCTTATAATAGTTCTTTGCTCGGATCAATAATCAAACCTTGAGAATGACAGACAAGTTCTTTGATCTTTCTTGAATATTTCAGCTTTGGATTTCAATGAGAAAAGCTGGATCTGTAATTCAGCTGACTTATTGTAGCCCTTCAGAGGCCTCAACTCAAATAGCATACCTTTGCTATTCTTTGTTTCTTTTCATTATTTATTTCTTTATTATGCAAGTTGATCTGTTTGGGCTCATAATCATATGAATTTTGCTGAACTGAGACACGTTTTCTCTATTCTTACGGATTCGCCCATCTTGATGCTGTGTTACTATTTCAATTTATTATTATTTGTTTCTTGTCTGTGTATTTATTGTTCATTATATATTATTATCTTCATAGAAACTAATGCTTGTTCAGGCTTTATGGAATTTTGGTTCGTATTATGTGCTGCATATGATTTTTGTCTCAGGTTCATATATGGAGACGACTGTTGTTATTTGTTGTGTACAAGTCTGCAATGATCAAATAGACGCCTCCTCGCATGTCAACTTGTATACGGATGAGGCCTTCCCGTGTTATTAGCTAACGTCGTTTTATGTTTCTAATGTCATTTGTATTTGGCTTTTGTCATTCAAATTATTTAACTATAAAATTTGCAACTAAGTTTTTTCTGAAGCTACATTTACTGTTACTCATTCGCAACACAGCCGAGTGCCTATGTATGTATGTATGTATGCGGACTGCGGTCATGCTGTAGATAAAAACCATGATAAATATGCTAATGTATTTAATCATATAACCATTTAATCCTTACAATTTGAAATAAATTTGAAATAAAATTTAATCATATAACCATTTAACCAACACACTTTTTTCAAAACTTAAAAAAGTCTACAATCTGATGGTGTAACTATTTCATTACCATGTGGGGTGAATCATGTAGAAATCTTTATCAATTATGTGAGATATGAAATTTTATCAAGGGCATAATGATGACTTTGACAAGATTAATACTATATTCACGAAATATAACATCAATACCAAGACATTTGGGATGAAAATCGCGAGGCACTATAATTAAATAATGCATGAAACAAAGATTTTCACATAAGAAGACAACTGAAACTTGTTAAAATCCACAACATCGTCCTCATATAGATACCCGTATCTTTTACCCTCCCATCCAAAATCCAACTTTTTTGAAAATTTCACAATGTGAAACTGAAAAACTTGATCCTACTCAATGTATTCAAATGTCAATCAAAGCTTAAAAAGGAGGAAATTTTTGAAAAGGAAATGCAGTCAACTGACTGTAATGCCCCTCACGCGTAAATAGACCAATCATGGGGTGCATTTTCGAATTTCGAGTTTTCATGTCCTTCCCTTCGAACTTATACTCAGGATTAGTCAAGTATTACCATTTTTGTTCTCTCATTTTGGTTTTGTATTGATTAATTATGGGCAATTGGCGGGTCAATCGGCATGCAAGAAAGAGATCGTCTATGGTGCTTTATGTGTTGTTTGTGCTATTAATGTTGTCGGTGGTACTGTTGATGCTTCTTGGGCTCGGAATTCTCTCTCTACCAATTAGCTCCGGCAAGGACTCGTTGTCGGCCAGAGGTCGTGGTGTATCTGAGCAAGTTACCTTAGACACGTAATTTGTTCTTTTTTTAAAGTTGTCTTTTTGAGTTTTTTTTAATAGGTTTATTCAATTTGGTATATTGATTTTTTTTATTTTTTATTTTTGTTGAAAGAAATTTGGATGATAGGATGGAAAGTGAAGGGGAGGGATTGGGGAAAAGAGAAAATCAGTGGACGGAAGTACTTTCCTGGGAGCCCAGGGCCTTCCTCTATCATAATTTCTTGGTGGGTTTATTTTTTTATTTTTTAATTTAATATTTTATTTCTTATTATATTAGAGAAGCTATAAACTTCTTTTAAAAAATAATTAAATAATTAAACAACCTCAAGATGGTGTTTAATTTGGAAAGAGATTGACCATGTTTAATTTGATTTGTCCAAGTTTTATATATATATGCTTGTTTCAAGTGGAGAATCCATGAAACATGTTAGAAGTGTTAATCTTTGGTTTGTTTTGCATCATTATTTTTTTTTTTATTTACTGATTATTTAATATATACACGGTCAGTCTAAGGAAGAATGTGTACATATGATAAATCTTGCCAAACCTCACATGACATTATCGACTGTTGTTGATGACGATACCGGAGACAGAGTGAACAGCAGGTTTGTTCCTATGTTCTATTTTAATTATATTTATTTTTCTTCTTCTGTATTTTATTATAATACACTGCATTTCATTTTCAGTGTTCGAACGAGCACCGGAATGTTTTTGGAAATAGGACAAGATAGAGTCATCAGAGATATTGAGAAAAGAATAGCGGATTACACACAAATACCTGTAGGTAAGCCAATTTTAAAAAGTCGTAGATCAAATTTATTTATTTAATTTTTTTTTAATTCTTCGAATTTGTGGCTCGCTTGTTTTTATATATGCTATAGCCAAACTAGTCTAGTCACGTGAGAAAACACTACTTGTTTGTGCTCAGGCTATGATATTTGTGGGTTTATATATATATATATATATATTAACAAGGGCAGTGAAGCAAAATGTAAGCAAACAAATATAACGTGCTGATAGAATAAGCAGGAAAAGCTTGTTAATTAATAAGATGAGGATATATTTATTGAAAAATCCAATTCTTCAACCAAACGCATCCTTGCAGAACACGGAGAAGGCCTTCAAATTCTACACTATGAAGTAGGGCAAAAGTACGATCCTCATTGTGACTACTTTGAGGATGAATTCAACCTTAAAAATGGGGGTCAACGCTTAGCCACTGTTCTTATGTACTTGTAAGTCTTGGATTTTTTATTATTATATTTTTTTTCATTCACTAAAAACGTCAGATAATGCAATTTTCTTGGCTAAATTTCATTTTTAGTACACTATTTCGGTAATTTTTCGAAAAAAGTCCATTTCCCAACATAGTGTACTAAAATGACAATCACTTTTAGTACACTATGCTGGTTTTTGAACGAATTTTGATTAAAGTGCCAACTAAGTAGATTATTTTTTATGACGCCTTATATGATGGACATTTTTTCAGAAAATTACCAACATAGTAGACAATTTTTAAAATTTTGCCCAATTTTCTTACATCCTCTACAGATCGGATGTTGAGGAAGGGGGTGAGACAGTGTTTCCTGCTGCCAAAGGTAACTTTAGCTCGATTCCCAATTGGGATAAGATGTCGGAATGTGCTAAAGAGGGACTTTTCGTAAAACCGAAAATGGGAGATGCATTGCTTTTCTGGAGTCTAAAACCCGATGGCAGTGACGACCCGATGAGCATGCACGGTAGGTTTTTCAGTTGCGCGGAGTTTTTAAATTTCCGTCTAACTTTATCTTGTATATTCACAAACTAACTTTGGCATTCACACAAGAGATATATATTTATTTTGTCTTGATATATTAATTAAGAATGCGCTTTGTTAATTTCCAGGAGCTTGCCCTGTTATCCGAGGGAATAAATGGTCGTCTACAAAGTGGTTGCATGTTGATTTATATGATAATTCTTAAGCGCATGCATCTTTGTGATAGACAAGGCATGTATCTTATGCATATATATATAGTAACATCTTAATGTATATGGTCATGAATTTTATAGACCGCGAAACATACATTTGTAGGCTACATTTCCTAAACTGAATCTATTTTTCGAATGGAATTAATTTGGATGGCCCATTAATTAGCTCGGGTGGTGCAATTTTTAATTTACTGCAACTGACCTTGGATCTTTTTATTTTTCAGGAGACCAAGGTCTTTCCTTGTCAAGAAATTGTGTATCTGACAGAAATATGAATTTTATCTTTTTAGGTACATAACGGTGAAAATATAATACAATAAATAAAAGGATGTGGAGTGAAAAATAGGACATCGTGTCTTGAACTAGTATGTAGGCCGTGCGATACATGAGGAAAAAAATTTCATGTATCAAGCCATTGAAATATTGATTACAATAAAAATAGTTTAAATATGAATAGTAGTTTTTCTTTTATTTTATTACATGTAATAATTTAATATATGGTTTATATGTTTATTTCACTCGTTATAAAAAAGTTGTCATTTTGTATTTTATGTTTATAATTAAGACAAATGAAAATTTAGAATATTCAAAAATTATAAATAAATAGTTTATATGTTTATTTCACTCGTTATAAAAAAGTTGTCATTTTGTATTTTATGTTTATAACTAAGACAAATGAAAATTTAGCATATTCAAAAATTATAAATAAAAAAGTTGTCATTTTGTACTTTAATATAGTGTTATTGGTAGTGTTTCATTTTTTCTGTTTTGGGTGGTGAAAATAGAAAGATATTTAACTGAGTACTGACTTTTATCTNTGTACTTTGAAAGCACATGTGGTGGGTCAACAATGGGTCCAGAATATAGAAAATCATGAAGAGGCTACAGTTGATATTAAAAAAGAAGTTATATGAACATTGTTTTGACATTTCATATTGTACAACTAATAACTCAAGATATATATATCATATATGCCAGTAAAATGGAAGACATTATATAATAATGAGCAATTTCATTTGCAAGTTGCAAATGTTGTGGTGTGTCGTGCAATTAGGGACATCATACAGCAGTCTATTTCTTCTTAAAAATCTTGCACTTGGCGTACAGATTCAGAAAACATGCTTGAGAGAGACACAAGAAAACCCATTTTGTATAAATACAATTTTTTTGGGATGAATTTGTCATTTTTTGGTGCATAGTATTTTTATATGTTAATTATTATGTGTCAATTTTTGGTGTTCTTGAGTTAATGTATAATTGGGCTTCTATTTATACACATTAAAACTTTTAAATTTTGAAAGCACTAATTCACTTGATTTATATAGATAATTATAAAAAAGTTAAAATTTGAAAACACTTAATTAACTTGATTTATAAAGATAATTATAAAAAATTAACAACTTTGATTTTTGTTATTGATTTTTATGTATGATATATCACAAATTTTTATTTGACATATAATTTATATATAAAATAAATCAGGATGATGTCTTATGGCTTGTTGTTGAGAAAGTAATTGATACAGTAAAATTGTTTGGTAAAATTAGTTGTAACAAAAATTTTAGTAACCTATTACGGAATGCTAAGTGAAAAATCATCTCATATAAGCTGGAAATTAATAAAAAATATTACCTACCAAATCAAACTTTTTCTGTAACCAAAGAAACAAAAAAAGCTACTGCAATCTAGCTCAGGTTGGTTATCCCGTACCTTTTTTAATAGTGTTTAAAAAAGAGATATTGTCTTGTTCACTATTTTAATTCTTTTTTAAGAAAATAACTTAACCAAATAAAATTCTCTTAAGTATAAGATAGCAAAGTCAATAAACATAGTTGGATATAAGAGAAAACAAAGTCTCTTAAAAAGTGAAACATAGTTGGTTATCACGTTGAAATTTTGTTTTTTAAGATAAATTTAAAATTGTGAAATAAAAATATAATGATCATAGATGATGTTAAATGAAAAATAATAAAATATTAATTAATTATATTGATAGTTATTTATAAATATATGAGTTGATAAATATTTTTTTATGTTGGAAAGTGAATAATACTATTATTAATTAATTTCTTATTTTGATTGTCTTAGTTGGATGGTAGAAAAAGGTAAGATATAAATCAATATTTACAAANTGAACGAAGAAATTCCAAATCCCAAAGCATAGTGCTCCGAAGCAAAAAAAAAAAAATACAAAATTATTGCCACTTGTCCATTAGTTATTAAGGGTGTCAGTGGGACCGTGGTTTGTTGAACTATTAAATTCCGCTATATATGAATTAAAAAGTAGCCATGCGCGATAATAATGACTTATTAAAGTCTTAAAGACAGTGTAATCAACAAAGGTACCAATTACCATTATCATGATTAACATTCAAAATTACAATCTCTGTACAATTAATAATGATCAAGTATAGCTCATATTCAAAAGTTGCGATAATTATAAAACACAAAACTTTTGCTTTATCTCTTCATGATAAAGCAATATTCCCTAGCGGTTGTTCTATCTTTTGAATTTCCAAATACAAATATTCTATATGTTATTATTTTAATTTTTATTTTTGTATATATAATAAAAAAATTACATGTTAAAGGAACTAGTGCGAAATATAGATGGGGAGCAATTTATTATCAAAACATTATTCATTTTTATTCAAGATATGTATCATTTCATTTTTAGGCGTTTATTAATATATCTATATATATTTATAATTAAATATTTGCAACCTTTGTAATTAATTTATTTTTTCGGACTCGTGATATAACTAGAAGACAACACTCACATTGTAACTAGAACTCTTCTAATACGATATTTATGAAAGAAATTAAATTTTTCAAAATACTTATTATGAATTGAATTGGATTTTGGAACATTTATAGATATCAGTATAGGTATTTGAAAATATAAAGAAATGAATCCATGTACAAATTTATATAAAATATGCCTAAATAAATAAAGAATAATATACCACCGACCGAACATTGCTTCTTGTTCTGTTTATAAATAGATTTTGCAATTATCAAAAATTTAAATGTAATGCTCTTGATTTATTTATTTATATAAAAATAAAAAAAATTAAGTGGACATAAATAAAAAAAAAATAAAAGAAGTGGAAAAAAATCAAAAGCACGTATTCTCGGAATACGTTTTTGAAAGAAAAACGTATTCTCACAATACGTTTTCCATTAAAAACGTATTCTGAGAATACGTGTTTCTTAAAAAAATTAATTAAGGTGATTATCGTAATTAAATTAATTAAAATAGGTCCAAAAACGTATTACCGAAATACGTTTTTCTGAAAAAATATTTAAAATTAATATTTTTAATTTTAAAAAACTAATTTTTTTGGAAAATAATATTTGAAAAAATAAAACGTATTCTCAAAATACGTTTTTTAACCAAATTTGCCCCAAATTGATTTCGCCCTAATTTTATCCCCAAATCGATTTTGACCTAATTTTGCACAGTACAAAAACGTATTCTCAAAATACGTTTTACTGTGCAAATACAGCAATTCACAAGGACAAAATTACAAACACACACCTGTTAATCGAGATCGATTCCACAACGAAATATAAATTCAGAAATCCCATATCAACCATGTCAAAGAAACAATAATAAAGCACAGTAATTCACTTTCCAAATATAAAAATCCAAACAAGTTCAAATATCATTACACATAAATCCACGAAAGAAAAAAATAAATATATATGTCTACAAAATGTCTCCGAATACAACACAACTAACTAGGAGTGTATCGATTCGTAGGGTTGCGCGGTCGGTTGCTAATCCGACGCTGTGGTGGTTGTGCAGAAGTCGATGCTGTGGGCGTGGTAGGTTCTTGTTCTTCTTCTACAGCTGAGTAATTCAGTTTTTTAAGAAATCAGAAATTTGACTTAACAAAAAATCACAAAACAAAAATAAAATTATATTTTTGTTAACTAAAAGATGTTTACCTTGTTCTTGTTGATCCTCAGGCCCGTCGTCGGCAACTGGTTCGCGGTGACGTCGTCTTCTACCTCCACGAATATGGGGAGGAGGTTGATGCCTCGCTCGGTGTGACTGCGTCCTCTGGGGTTGGACGTAGCTCTCTTGTGATAAAACTTGGCTTGACGACGTCCCTTGACCGATCTCTCCGCCTCCGACAGTCAGAGATGTGTAGAGAAGGCTCTTGGCATATTGGATTGCCGCCTGCATCTCCGGATGGGCTGTATGATATAGATGCTCAACATTGGATAGCACGTTATAAGCCCCCTCCATGCCGCTAGCCTGAAAATTTAATT